GCCTGATTTGTTTACTAAAAATTTTTTTTTCGCAGTCCAGGCATTTTGGAATCCGCTATTTTTTTACGTTTCTCTATTTTGTGCCTATTCTGAGTTACACGACTCACGGTGATTGATCGATTTTCCTTGTAAAAGCTTTGGTGGCTTAATAAAAATAAATATTTTCATTTCAATACTATTGTCCAACATGGCATCAAGCAAAACCACATGTAAATATCTCTTATAAAATATCCTTGATTCTCGGGAAAGCTTGCTCATTAAATTCAATAAGTTGCGATACCCGTGGCAAGGCATATGGCCAAAAATCGTCTCTCAACAGACATATACGCCTGGTTCACGACCCCGAGTTTTACGAAAATGACCTACTTACGTATCTGTATGACTTGTCAGTCTTACAGTTAAGCCGGCTTATGCCATTACACTTAATTAGGCTCTCTTTAGCCCATTGGTTTCCATCCAATTTAAGCCGACCTTCGTACTTCTCCGGTACTATATGGGAGAAATCCGCCCCAGATAAACTGCCCATTAATCACTGTCCCAAAAATTTGGTATAGCGTGTTCCTAATTAAGTCAAGGTATTTCACTGACGTCTAATCGACTCCCTTGTATTCTACACCTTAATTATAAGCACACGATGACTAACTACAGTAAAGCTGCATAGGGTCTTCCCGTCTAGCTAATGGTAATCCGCATCTGCACGGATAATTCAATTTCACTGAGCTCATCTTGGAGACAGTAAGAGTATCGTTACACCATTAATGCACGACCATAATTAGTGGCTAAGGTATTTCGCTACCTGAGGATCGTTATAGTTACCACCGCTGTTTACTGGGGGTTCAATCAGTACCTTAACAGTACCTCTCTTGACTTACCAGCACTGAGCAGGTATCAGTCTTTATACATCTAGTTTCCTATTAGCAAAGACCATACATTTACATAAAACTGCTCCTTGTGTTTTCGAGGTAACAACAGTCGCGTTGAAAGAAAGACAGTAGATATAAGCAATGCAGAGAGGAACTAAGGCTCATGAAATATAAGCTACCCAAAAAATAAGTGCTTGAAGCAGGTATATTACTTCTTGTCTGTTGCTGAATGCAGCAGTTATAATTAACCTCCTAGAAGGATTTGGTGTAGCTGTCCGGGACGCAGAATCGGCTCCCATTAGTTGAGTATGCAAACATCGGGTTATCCAATACTGGCAAGAATGCCATATAGATCAACACTAGCTCTTTACTCAAACGTATGTATGTTAGCTCCACATATTGACATATACTGCATTTCCGTTAGGACACAATGATGATATAGTATTTTAAGCAGCATGGATGTTGAAGCTCCTCATAATCCTCCTCTTTCTTCCCATCATGTTTCTCTTCCTTCAAAATGAATCTAGCGTTTAATATGTAGTGTAGTAACAAGCTACTAGCTTTCGATATTTTTATTGTTAAAACAATTGCAATTAGGAGAACAGCATCGATAATGTATATACAAGGATTTTGCTTTGATTGTGTCATTTATGTGAAGTGATTATTCATTAAGTACAAAGAAAGCGTAAGCTCTGTACACTACACAGTTTCTGTCTAAAACGTATATTTTCCCTTGTATTTATTTATTGTCAATAAACAAGCATGTTTTTTCATGAAGGTCAATGCCAGGGTTTTATAGCTGCAGCACATGAGGGTAATCATCTACAATTAATTTCAATCCCTGAAAGTAAACATAGCAGTTCCATGTTGTACTTCTAATTATTCTTTATAGTGAGTAGACGTTAACGGATGTAGAGGTATAGTATATTAATTTATTTATATAAATGAAAGGTCAAAAAACCGTTGATCCACTGCATAGAGTACTTCTTGTTTGATACGGTCGACGACGATGTAAACAAAAACATAAAACGCTGGATGGGCAAAAGTGTTTTTGACTTTATCACTTCTACGAGTTCGAAAGCTATATAAGCTATAAATTTCAGTCCAATCTGCGACTTGTGGGAAGGGCCTCAAGGGGAACAGCACTAATTCGCTTTTCACGAAAACGCCTTCAAAATTCATATAATCATTTGACTGGGAACCAACTGCTTCCTTTAATCCACTGTTGACAAGCATAACATACCAAGCAAGTAATAAAAAATCGACAATGTAATCATATTATAGATTATCAAAGAATAACTTGTCGAGCTCACTGCTACAACAACTATGTAAAAGGGCAATCTATGGGAGATCTATGACAATTACCAGCACTTAGTTATATGTTATCTATCAGAGAAAAAAGAAGTGAAAAAGAAATAATACGGGTGAAGGATTTGACAACATGAATTATCGAGTGATTCAAAACCATTATAGTATAGTAAAGTTATCCGAGCTTGACAACAGTGAGGTGCAGCTTCTTCATACTTCCCATATACTGTAATTGCAAACATCTCTAATTCGTCCTCTAACTACAGATCAATCTTAAGCTCATAACGACGTTCCTTTCTATAATCATCTACTGACTCCCAATTATAAAAGACAACACCAGGAACTGCTTTGTTATTGTATCTTCAGCGAAAATCGCAAAGCTTCTTATTCATTTCCTTACTATATTGTGAAGATTGAGTAGTGTAAAATACTTGATGAATATACGATTTCAGTTGTAAAAACTAATGAGATTGTGATGACTCGATCAGTTGATGAAGGCAGCAATTGTGGAGGCAATTCATAAAAAAAATTGTCTTGTAAACGGAAGTATTGTGTTGTACGAAATGTTATCTGTGTGGCTAGGCTTATAGATCGGATAAGTCTAGTCATCTAAAGGATTTAAACTTTGTTCTTTTTTTTCTTCTCCTCCCCCAAAACTTTCTATCCTCTTCATCCTTAATGTCACAAAGAAGACGTCCTTTGCCAGATTGGGAGCGCCATCGAGAACAGTATACTGCTGTTGTTGTACCAACTACCGACAAACTGGGACGAACACGGCACATTGAAAAGATGGTGCGCACTGAGCATTTGGTTGGATCAAGATGACTCTGTCGATCACCACCAAAACAAACGACAACGATCATCTGCGTTTGATGTTTTCTCAGATGATATGGAGGATAACAGCTATGATGTGGAAGTGGACGGGCAAGATCTGGATGAAGTCGAATGCGTATCGCACTCGCATAAAGAGAAGCTAGAGAAGCTTAAAAAAACTGGGAAAACGTCCTCGAACCATTAGCAAATGAGTATATCAAATGCTATGATAGTGCCAGTCCACCCAGTTTCGCAGCAGAAGAGCCAGACCGCGCCCCATGCCCATGCGAGAAAGAAAAATACCAGAGAGAAGTTCTTTGTGTCTATCTTACTGGTACTATGATCTAGAACTTAAAAATTATTATAGCAAATGCATAAGATTGTCGACTTCTCATCATTCCCTTCATTAACTATTTTCTCATTACCTTTTAAGGTATCAAAAAAGTTAACGTTACGTTTTGTCGATGCGACGAGCCCCAAGCAGTTACGCTTATGAGACACCATATGTTTCCCGCATCACCAATGTTCCCGCAGACGGCATACCACATAAAGCTCCTCGAATTTTATAAGGAGTTGTTTATGACAGGCCATCTTGCAAACCAAGCATTCGCCAAAGCATGCGCTAAATTGCACATGTACGAGGTACATGTGCTTCTTTTCTTCATTTTTCAAAAGGGACCATGAAATTAGACAATAAGCTCATGCTTCACCTATTCGTAATCTTGGCTTTGGTAGAATGTCGAACGACTTCGAATCACTTTTGCAAATGCTTTTTTTGCGTATCTCGAGGTGCTCACAAAAGCAGAGGAGTTATCCGTTGCAGAGCACCAGCACACCATCCAGGCTTACAATGATGACGCTTGCCCGGCATGTCCCAAGGTCGGCTATACCATCTGCGATTTTATACATTACATAATTATAATAGAAGTCATATTTAAGCAAACATCCTGGCCTGTTGAACTGGATATGAGACTAACTTTCTTGTTACTTGCATTATTAAGGATGGGATGATCATCGCGCTAGATGGAAACTTTCAACTGCGTAGACGGATGGCAAACAGCGATGATTGCAAGTTGCATGAATCAGCTACTTTTTTTAGTGCAGATGCCAAGCACAGCACTTACGCCAAAGCCAACGACGCATCTTCGAAAGATCATAAGTGTGACTCCAAGTTTCGAAATGCAGATGAGTCATACGTATCTCGAGCAATACGACAGTGCTACGAGTCCGGAGTGCTTGGGTGCGTATGTCGTCACAATCTGCCATTGGAGTTCACCAACATTGTTCAGTCTGGTGAAAAGTAAGTTTATAACCGGTGATAGGATCCTTGAAAAAAGTATCGCAATCATCATCTTATACATTCAAATTTTTAAAGGCACAAGTACCCCCTGTCTGTCATAGATGTGCTCATGAAAAAACATGGCACCAAAGTTCTCAAAATTATGTATGACATTGGTTGCCATTTTGAGCCGGCAATTAAAGTAAGACCACGAAAAAATAGATACGCTTTGTTTCGAGATATCTACCGACCAACTTGTGCCAGTATAGTGTATCTGTAATGAGCCTTCTCATAACTGTCAATGATATTATTCTAGGAGAACTTTCCGGATTGGGTGGGGAATGTTGCTGTTGGCGTCTTCCACGCCTATGCCCATTCTATGGACTGTCAGGTGCAATACAATCCTAGATTGATTGAAGGGTTTGGCCTGACAGACGGTGAAGGAATGGAACGACTCTGGTCGTATCTATCTGGATTCGCTACGATCACCAGAAATATGTGTGCAAAACGAAGGATGCTCACGTTGATTCAAGCGATACAGCATTTCAAGAACGAGCACCTTCAATCCTTGCGTAAGTGTAAAAATTTTTAATTTAAGTATATTGTCATGATAGACATCTCCTCATCGGAAGTACTGATTGATCTATAGCGCAACTACTTGAGCAACGCAAAAAGCAGGCAATTTCCGTGCAAGAAAAAGCCGGTAAATTTCTGAGTACGGACTGTCCTTGGCTGACTGATGAACAGCTGAAACAGCAATGGCAGTCGTACTGTCACATCATCCAACAAAAGCTGAAGCCTGCTGACCAAGTGAGCCCAGATGCTTGCAAGGTCAAGTACATCGAGGAGCTCATGGTTTTATATGCCATTGATGCTGGGTGAGTTATTATAATGATGATGTGATTGGATGGATAGTCTTACGGAAGACAGATCCTAATATGAAGGGACACTGCGCATTCTTCTATTAGCTCCGGCTTTGATCACTTTGGTCTAATTGCTCTTATCAACATAATCATGTTCTATTCTTTTTCAGTGCATATAAGGGCAGAATCACCAGACGAATCGCCGAAGCTAATGTGACGCGCTGGGAACGCCAACTCGTAGAGATGAACATTCTCACAGTTGGAGAACGATGGAAGGAAAACGATGTGCCATTCAAAAAAGCCATGAAGTTGAAGTGGTCAAATGACTACAAAATAAACAGGCTGAAACTGCATTCCCTTGTGGCTGGTCGTGCGCTTTTGCAGACGCAGTTGCACAGAAACGGGAAGAAAGGTAAGCGTTTCGGTTTATATCCTATTGTAGAAAATCTTTTCATTTGCAGCAGATTCCTACATCAGCAGTAAGTATTCCTTTGTTTTCAAACCCTATCATTGCCATTGTTATCTGATGTATAATGCTGTTAAGTGCACCATTTGAGTAAACGTATATGAAGGAACGGGATTTTTGTGAGGCTATGGGAATGTGCGATCATAGGGTGTGTAATGGGTCGTTAAGGCGTTACATTTTGCTGCCTTTTTTCGGGTTTTTTAACATATCATGGTTATCTTTTGGATCTTATAGCTTGCTATTGCTTCTATATGATGTTTGCTACATATGTATAGCTAACAAACATGTAGTTCAGAGTAGTATTGCTATGATACTTAGCTTGGAGATATCAATTGTCGTCTCAAACAATGTAACCTGCCAAAAAAAATGTCGGGGACTCGCTGCAAATGATAAAGTAAACGTCGGCGATGAACCTCGTATTAATATAAGGTGTTTATAGGGCACAAACTTGCTGAAAAGCTCGAGGACGCAATTAAAAATATCAAGAAAAAAGCGTTACCTCTGATAAAAAACATAAACGAACTTTCCCTTCTGATCAATGAAGGAGAAATCGAACCGCTCGTTCCCGCATTTGTTCAAACATACGATGTTCTGATCAACTTGCGGAATACGTTTTGGCAAGAAGAAGGCTCGGATGTTCCTTTCCTGGTACTTCGAGAGTACCATAACAAGAAACGTGCAGAGGAAGAACTGTCTATGCTTGAAGTAAGGCATCCTAGTAATTCGATCACCAGGTAGGTATCCGTTTTAATATTACTTTTTGTTTTACAACTAGGCCGAGGCAAGACGACTTGTTGCATACATTACTGCAAAGGTTTCCACGTTCAAAAGAGTGATGGATGATTCCAATGGTCGTTTGGGCTGCAAAGTGATTTTGAAAAGGCAGCTCCACTTCTATGAAGCGATCGAAAAAGCAGCTCGCAAACAGCATCTTTTGCGTGATCTTTTTGATGCCGATGATGCCAGCTCGTCCAATACAACACCTGATACTCAGGATGAAAATGTATTGGATGAGGACTATGATGAAGAGCTCCATTTCATCCCACCATCATACGAAGAGATCGAGCTCGCTGTCAATGACAATGGCGAAGAACACGAAGAAGAAGAAGAGTTTACTCTTTTTTAGGATGAAATTAGTCGACAGCACTGTTCTCCTTTTACTACATCACATCTCTTACATCAACACCTACATCAAGTTATCACTATTACCTCCACTTACACTTTTTATACGTTTTTATACAATACTACAAAACTTCTTTTTATATTTGCTAGAATTAACATTGATGCTTTTTATATTGACTATGGCGAAAAATGACGTCTGTTTTTTTATTTGTAAATTATAGAAATATATATGGCTAAATTTCAGGCCCAGAAGAGATTCATAACGGAAAAGGTGGCGTGTACATGCTGTGAGCTTATTTTCCATTAATCCAGATATCGAGTACTGCA